GGGGGGGGGGGGGGGGGGTAGGGGTGATTATAAACAAAAACCCCAGCCACTTGATACTATTTTAATCTTATATTCTCTGTGGGTACAGTGTTTGCTGGAGAGAAGAGCCTGCTAGCCTGTCCCTTGGAAGCACAGAAAGCTACTCTGAGCAATGGTCCTTGCAGTCTAGTCGCCAGCTGTGGGTAAATGAAGATATGGACCAGTAGATCTGGCCAAAAGCACCATGCCAAAAGTGAAATTCTCATCACAGATGGTACAAGGTATCCTGTTGCCAGCTTCCACAATGACAAAATCTATTTGATGAGGAAACAGAACTACTTCTCACCTGGAATACTAGAGAAAGAGAGATGTTTCTCACCTGGAATGCTCATAAATTGGACTGAGGGACTTGGGGTGAAGCTGATCAAGTTTCACTGCAAGTTCTAGGACAACAACATTTTTTCTGTGTCTAATGGTTTTCTGTGGCTCTCTGTGTCCTCTTGGAAACTGAACTCAGTGGGCTTGATTCTGCTTTCCTTCAAGTGTCTGCTTTAGAGGAATCCAGGCTGCAGCAACCAGACTGATTCCTCACTTCTTTGTACACTTCTAGAGAGTGGTACACAGTAAACCAGTGCCATCTGCAAGCAATATCATCTCTGTCCCTTAGACCCTCTTTGCTCAGAAGCATGGGATGGTTCATGCACCAAGCTCTGAATACTGACAAATATATCTCCCTCTTTCCTTTTCCCTTGTTATTTTTTCTTTACTAACATGGGAGTCTAAACAGAAATAAAATATTTGATAAGTACTGGTTTCTTATCATTCCTTTAGTGAAATCCAGCACGGTGCCTGTATATCATTGGCAGAGAGGTGCTCAAATATTTTAAAGGAATGTCCATACCAAAAAAGCAACAAAAAGGGAGGCAAAAACTATGGCATGGGCTAGATCCCACCAGCTTAATCTTGCCACTGTGGAGGTCTCCAGCAGGTAGGACTTGGGAGCACAGCTCCCAAATACAAGCGTGTATTTATATATTCCTGGAGTCAGGAGCCTTGGATATGCTCTTACCAGGCTGGCTTCAGCCAGAGCTTAGGAAGATCTACTGGAGCCCAGTGTGGAGGGCTGTGCCACACCACACCCTGTCACCTTTGTGTGTGGGACCAGAGGGTGGGAGTGAAGGAGGGCAGACAAGACATGGCACCCACCCAGCCAGCATCAGGCCACCAGCAGAGGAACGCTCGGCAGGGACTCCAGGCAGCACACAACAGACTTTACACAGCGAAACAACTTCAGCTGGGGGCTGGGAATTGGCGCTCATGTTTTATTCATCCAAATTGCTTTTCCCCACTCCAGAAATCTACACTTCTTTCTACACTACAGAAGCTGTTCAATTTCCTCTTGTTTAGCACTGTGCTGCAGTGCTCCCATTTCCTCCAAGTACCTTCACGAAGAGACTGATCGGCGGTAATCACAAGTCCAACCTCTCAGGAGTGAAGCGTGGGTGAGAGATGTAGGTTCATCTAACTTGATCAGTCTGTTTTGTTATACTGTATATTAGATCTTCAGTAGCCAGATCCCGTGGAAGGAAATAAAAATTTAACAAATCCGGTTTCTTTTCCTTTTTGGTAAAATTTTATGTTTGACTCATCTTTCCCAAGCTAATTGTCAAGAAACTGACAAATCCATCGTGGTTGACAAGTGAGTAATTGGGGGAAGAGAAGGAGTGCGGCAGGTGTTAGTACTAATTTGGTAAAACAATCAGAGTAAAGAGTGGTATGATAGTCACTTACACAGCCATGACGTTACAAGCCCTTCATATAAAATGTGTGCAGGATTTTACGACACTGAGATAATTAACTATTAACCAGCCACTCCACATCCATTTCAAAGGTGACCTGCAAGTTCACCATAAGATGTTTTTGAGCCTCTTGATAGGAAAGACCAGATCACAACACTTGTAGGGAACCAGGCAGAATTTAGTTCTATGTTTCTCACCTGTCAGGTTGCTGGGCACACAGAACAGTCCTTTCAGGGAGCAGACCCCATGTGCTGGCCATGGCTTGCCTGTTCTAGGCTGGATCATCAGGGAAGGATGCTACTGCCAGAGCTGGAGCACTCAGTTGCTGTTGCCCTGCCAAGATCTCCATTGCCCACAGCTGCCCTAATTCTCCAAAACTGTGGCTCTGACGAAACACTGCTCATTGCTAAGAGGATGATTTTACAGCAAAGCCCAAATCTGACTTGCTGAGAGAAGAAATTACATTTGTACCTGGAGAATTTCTCCAGCACTGAAGGGAATGGTCTAAGACACTGCTGCATTTTAGAAAGCAAGCCCTTAGAAATAAATTCTTCTACTTACCTGCCAAATCTGCCCCTCTGAGCTCTTTATTTCCTTGCTTCAATCTCAGTTGTCACTGCCATTGCCTCAAGAGCAAACAGTGTTCTCTTTTTGATCCCTGTAATCGTGTTAGTGACTACAGGCCAAATAATAGGTTCTGCAGGCAGACCCTTAAGACACTCTTTTGCTCTGAAGTAGCTGTACAAATAGCATTGCAGCATTTCATCCTTATTGTCTGCTAAAGATTTTGGTATCTTATATGCTCTGTTTCAAAAACATAAAGATCTTTTTCTCATCTAAGTTCTAGTCCTGAGGATTCACTGGGGATTCAAAGAGAAGCTGATTCTTTTTTTTTCTGGCTTCTGCATAGTTATTAAGAATACAGAGGCTGCAGGACAATTTCTGCTCTGGCTTTCATCTGTATAACCCCTACTATCTTATAAACTTGCTTTTGCTTTCACACAATGATTATTTGAGGTGAAGGGGGCCTTCAAGGCAGCTCCAAGTAGCAGTTGTGTTTATAAGGGATGGGGCTAGAGGGGAATCCTCTCCCAGACCTACAAGGTACTAAAGATCATCTCTGACTTAGACCCCATCAAATCGACTCCAAACACCTGTATAGATCCACTAAACAACTATTTTTTTTATTTTCTTCTCACTTTCCAGGATGTAAGTATTGCTATTAGAAACATATTTGGGTTGCTTTTTTCTGTTTTCTTTAAATGAAAAGGTCATCTCCCCCAGCCATATGGAGTGGTTCCCTCTCAGCAAAGCGTATCTGGTGGGAAGCACATCCATTCAACCTTTCATAATACAGACCTTGATTCAGCAGGGAGGAGAGCTGACAGGCACCTTTGCAGCAGATTTAAATCAGAGGCAAAACCTCGAGCAATATAAAGCAATCTGAGCCAGACAGCAAAGTCACGCTGACCTTCTGCCGGTAGTACTGCAGACCCAAGCGTGACTTCGGGTGCTGCATCCTCAGGTATGACGGCACCGGGGGAAGCCAACAGGCTCTTCCCAATGGCTGCCTCTGCTCTGCTGCTGCCTGATGGAGTGTTATCACTATGACAACCTACAGGTATAGTATGTGCACGATAGCGGGAGCTCCGGATGACCCAGATTGCGTGTGCACGGCTCAGAGCTGGGCTACCCTGCCTGGGAGGGGAGCGAGGAACACGTGGATCCACAGGTAACTCTCCCCTGGCTCTGTCCTGTCATTTGCTAGCAAGTTTGGAGCAGGGGCAGGCTGGCAGCCTTCGAGACACTAACTAGGATTTTAAACACTCTTATCTGGGACAAGGAAACAGCAATTTTTCTCCTCTTTTTCTAAAGCTCTTTCGCTGGGCTTCTTTTTCATCAGTAAAAGACATGAAAGAACATAAGGGCACCCTTCAACTCTGTCTTCTCCAGCCTGTTAGAAGGTAAAATGCTTCCACACCTCATATCCACCTCCTGCCTGCGTGTGTGTATGTGTGCATGCACGCGTTACTTTCTTTCACTACTATTACAGCACATGCTCCTCCAGAGCTATTCACGGCATTAGAAACACAACTCCTCCCTCCAGTGCCGTGTGTGTGCGTTTCTGTGTGTCTGTGTGTCTGTGTGTCTGTGTGTCTGTGTCTGTGTGCGTGGCTTGGGCTCGCTGCTTCAGCTCACTCCCCTCTGATGGTGGGGCTGGCGGTCACGACGCTGCTCCACACCTCCAGGCTTCATAGGGAGGGGAGGAGTATCGGGGGAAAGCAGGCACACAACTGACCTACACAACATCGATAACTTACTCCCTCGCAGCACAATCGCATAGCAAAGGGGAGGGAGGAAGGAGGGGAAGGAGGAGGAGAAGAGGGGGGGGGAAAAACGGAAAATCCAGAGAATTCTAGTCTGGCAAATATAGTGAAACCAAGCGGTCGGAGTTCATTTGCTCCTTTTTTTTTTTTTTTTTTTTTTTTTTTTTTTTTTTTTTCCTGATACTAGCAGTGTTTTAGAGGTAAAATGATTCCTCCGAGCAGCACGACTGAAGTCAGCGTGGATAGTGTGGAGAAGGAGAATGAAGTGGAGAGCACAGAGCAGCCCCCCTCTCCAGCATCAACTACCAGCCAGGAATCAAAGGTACTCAGAGAATGAGATTTTTATTTTTTTTTTCCCCCCCTCTTTCTTTGTTTTGAAAAGAGATGTATTGCTTTGATTTTCATTTGGAGCCCTGTGCCAGGATCAGCGTCAGAGTGCTAAGAGCCACCTCTGACTGCGGTGCCTGCTCCGACACTCCTGCTTCTGAATTCTCCCTGTTACCTCAGGAGCCTGAGCTGGGAAAATACCTGCCTTCTGAGACCTTCGGGATTGTGGATTTTAACCTGTGTTCTCTCCTCCTTATTACAGTAACATCCTGGGGTAGTGATGGGGCTCAGGGAGGGGATCGCTGTCCATGGACATCTTTTGCTATTTTCACACCAAGTATCAGATCACTTAAAGGGTTTTTGTTGGAAAGATTGATTTTTCTCAAAGGTTCAGAGAAAATAATTTTGTCTGGAGGCTTGGGGTATTTCACCTGACTTTACTTCTCTGGCAGACTCATCAGTGAACTTTTACTGTTTAATGAGTCTGTTGAAATAGGAGATAAGTTACAGCTTTATCATAATGAACCTTATGTACACCACACAGAAAACTATTTTTGTTTTCACAGCCTTTTTTCTATTTGTGAGTTTTCCAATATCATTCAATTTACCTTTCTGAAAATTAACTTGCAGCTGAATTGGCATGGCCTCTGAATTTTTAATTGACTTGAATGTGAAAAGTTTTTCTGACTGCCAGGGTGTCACTTGGAAGACAGAGAGGTAAAAGGTAAAGTAGTACCCTTACATAATGAAAGTTCCTTGCAGCTGACTTGGATAATATTCTTTTACTGATCCTCTGTTACTTATGATTGATACCATGATAGCACCTGACAGATCTTTCTGTGGACTTCATAGTGATGCTGTGTAAACATGTAAAAATAGGGAGGTTCTTGTCACTAGGAGCTCACAGGTGGGTAAAGCAGGAGGTACTGTGTGAGCAAAACAGCTGCTTGACTGGGAAGGTCTGTGCTGGCCTGAGTTTAAAGGCAGTGGCTGCCTGGGGCTGATGTAGAAAGACTGCTACATTATTCTGCAGTTATAGCTCTCCACTGTCTGGAGAGCGAGTTCAAATTATCTGTCTGTGTGGGTAGAGTTTTGACGCGGGGTTTGGGCTTCTTTATTTTATATATTTATATAGAAGCCATACTCCAAGGAGGAGAGCTGAGCTATTCCCTGTGTAATACAACCTCTTCAAAAGAAAAGATCTTTTACAGTAACAGTAGAATACAATATTCACTGTGCATATTTAGCTCTACTGGAGTCTCCCTGGTTCATGGAAAATGAAAAGTAAGTGGATTATTGGTATAAACCCGGGCTCTAAAAGGATTCGATACCTAAATCCCACCCCCCTGAGTCCACTTCTCTGGAATTACTCAAGTGTTATATGGGCAGTGGGGAGCTTTGCCCCTAGTGAGGTCCCAAAAGTAACTGCAGCCTTCACTGCACTGCCAGCACCAGCTGCTCCAGTGTTCTGGGCTGTGCATGGGGCCTGGTGGGCTGTGTGCTCCCTGTGATCCCAGCTGTGATCCTCACCCTGTGCCAGAATGGTTAAGGAGCTCCATTTGCCACTTGATAACAATGGTGCTTGAGGGACTTTCCCACTGGGTCACGGAATGCTGTTCCCAAAACAGCCTGGCATGGATCCAAAACTCTGGGAAAGTGAAGAGCTGTACAGAGGGTTCCTTCTTGCTGTTTGTTCACCCACGTGCTTCCAAGGATGACAACAGGAATTAGGCACATCTGGCTAGAGAACAAATAGGCTGCAAACTAGTTTATAATCAAATATTATCATCATCAATTGTTTTCAGTCTTTTAAGCTTTTGAAGCAATACACTGGAATAGGCAAAAGCTATGACCATGCAGCTGATGCCATTACTTGGATAGAGATAATCTAAGTAAACAAATAATCTGTGTATTCACATTTTAGAGCTGCAAATATGGTCAACTAGCATGATGCACTGTTATTTCAATAGACAGAGTCAAAAGAGACTTCTGATCACTGAGGTAATAAGCTTTCTTTTTTTGGTCCAAGGAAACAGGAAGATGGAAAAAATTCTCTGATTTCATAAAGATGTTCTTTATTCTTGGGTTTTCTTTTATTTTCTAAGATAATTGATGTACTGCAAAATCTAGAGTCTGAAAGAAACATAGATCAGTGTTTTTATCCTGTGGTGTCCCATGCTGAGGGAGCTATCCTGTCATTCATAGAATACTAAGCTTTCTTCAGGTACTCTCTGCTCCCTGGGTTAACAAGTTCATGTCTGCTGCATTTAGTGCAGAACAGTTTGTGCAATATCTAATTAGTCCACAAAGACTTTTCTTTCTGTGTCAAAACACTCCAAACTTGACAATCTTTTTCTGTGGCAAAACACCCCACTTATTATGATTCCAAATATATGAGCAGAACCAACATGGATAATAGCAACCTTTTAAATGCCTTTGAAAACACTTCAGCAGAAAAGCAATTTTGAAAAAAATAATGTAGAACTAATAGCTGAAAGCTTCCTTCCAGTCCAGTGTAATCATAGACATTGGTGGCACATAATCCCTTGTCATATTAAAGTCCAGAAAACAGTTTTATTTCACACCCTCCAGACTTAGAAGATGACAGGGAGCAGGTACTGCAACTTCTGACTAGCACTGAGTTTGAGAGGCAGAACTTCAGGCTGCAACCAAGTAGCTGAAATTTGGAAGGATGACTCCCATGGGTTAGTCACACACCTGTGTGGCAGGAAAGCAGCTCACTCTTAAACGCCTACTAAAGCCTCCCAGCACCTTTTCCTATGGATTAGGAGCATAGTTGGAGGTGAGCACACTCTGGCTGTTGAAAGAGCCATCCTCTAATACTATATGTACTGCAACTGTGCTAAAAATCCTAGAGCCTGAGTGGCTAAGAGTCTTGCAAAACTAATAATTAATTTATTAAACTAATTTATTGGCTCTTGAAAATATTTACTTCATGCCTCAGTATGACTTGAGTAGATACTTTAAAGTTTAGCAGGAGAATAACTTTAGGAAGGTACCACACAAATACATACAATTGCTAAATTTATTACTTTCATGTGCTTGTAGTTCTGGTTCCCACCTCTTTGGGACATTTACATCTGGTTTCCAAGAAGGCAAATTACTAGTTTGCCAAGGTCTTTTGTAAATTTACAACTCAGCAAGGGAGGAATTCATTAGTTAATGAATCCTGAGGGAAAACTTCTTCTGGGTGGTAGCAATTAAAGACATACTGTACACTTGTTGAATCACCAACTTAGCAATATAAGCAGAAATCTAGTGGCAGCAGAGATCATATTTCTGATGTCTTTTATCTAAACATACCTTGGAATTTAGTAAAGAAAACTAAAATTTGAATGAATATGTGTTCAAAGATAGGAATCCTACACATGGCATGCTTTCTTTATGTTTTGGCATAGCTGGCACATAATTCTGTTAACTTTATTCTTGTTTTGTCTCACTGACATTTGTATAAGGAGAGGAAAGAACCCATCTGCTCATTTCTTTAGGCATGAATCAAGTTGTTATCGCTTTTCTGTGAGCAGTGGCTGAGGTATTCCTAGACCATGGTTATCTTTGAAGATTCTCTTAGCATTTTTAAGTTTTACGGGACACCTGAGCGTCCACAATGTTTGAGCTAGTGCCACTAAAGTGGATTAGCATTGCTGATCTTCAAGCTATTACAGTTCCATGTCAATATGTTTAAAGTCTTTCAGGCTTTCTCATATACCTCAGAAGGGGTACCAAGTCCTGCCCCTGCCATTGCAGGCAATCTGTCATGCAAAAGTTAATTATTTGAAAATACTGATGGATTTCTTTTAAGACATTTTTTTTCCCCCACAGTTTTCCCATTTCATCTACTTTATTTGATAAAATACATCTGTAATTGTGTTGTACTGTAATCACACATCTTTGGAAGGATTCAAAATTTTTCTCTGAACCACAAACTCATGGGTCAAAGAAATTGCTTACACTCAGTTCAGCTAGGTAATTTGAACAGCTAAAAAAAATTGAAGATGAAAAGATAAATTGTATCTCCAAATAAATATGGTATCTGGACTATGTATTTCAAGTAATAAATGAGTCCGTCTCAGTCTGACACTTTCACACACTGACTACCTAGTGGAAAATATTCAGGGAAATGCAGACCATTATCTTCAAGTTCAGGTATGGCAATTCAGGAGATGCAACAGTTTTTCCAACATGAGCTAACCTGATAAGCAGTACATAAAATGGAAGCTGAAAAGAGTAGGAAGCCAATAAAAGGATTTAAGCATTGAAGTTCCAGATGTAGACTTCATTTATGAGTATCCCCACATTGATCACAAAGATTGAACTTACATACCTGTCCTGCTGGATCAATAGAGCAATATTGCCTACTTGAGGTTTCAAAACCAGGTGAGAAGGTTTCAAAAACAACTTGAAACTCTTTGGATTGTGTGGGATTTAAATCACATAGAACTTGTGCTATGCTGTTAAGCAGAGATCTTCCCCACTTAAAGAGTTAATACTTTATGAGGCTCCATAGATGGTTACTCATCAATATTTTAAAAGGGCAGGGAGTATGGTGTGCAGTTAGTGTTTCACCCTCCACACCAGTGATAAATATCCAGCATGTAAACTACTGCTGTAGTCTTCAAAGGAATACCAAATAGCTTAGAGACATCCTGTGAAAGGGGAAGAAAGAACAGTTTTCCTTCTCAGTGTTACTTCTGCCTCTGTGTAAAATGGTGAGTACCTACTGTGAAGGTAAGACTAAGGGAAAGAAATTAGATAAAGTATTTGTGTTTTGCAACAAATTATGTGAAGGAAAGTTTCATTAAAGCAGGAAAGTAATACTCTAGCCTATCAATGTCTCCTCAGCCTCATTCTTGTACTTACACTTACTTTGACATTTCTTTCTTACTCTTGTTCTGATTGAAACTCTCTGGTATTGTTTTTGCTTTGGTATATATGTCAGATAAGTTTCTAGGCACTTTGAGATATCTAAGACAA